TTTCTATCTACATAATCAAGTGTTTGTCCTTTTATTTTTTTATTAAAAATTGTATTTTGTTAGGCTTCAATAAAATATAATGTAATCCGTTTTTAATTAAATGAAATTAAGTGCTTATGATATGTTTAAAACAAATACTTTGAAAGGAATACCTTACTTTAATTTTCTTCTATGTTATTTCTACAATATCAACAAATCTAAATTCATTTTGATTTGTATGCGTATCCCCTCGATATTTAGGTATCAGTAAAGAGTGCTTTGTATTTTTTTAGAATGACCATTATATAATGACTACCGGGATCAATAAGAAATAAAGCAAAAGGTATTTTGGGATTAGCAATTTGCTCTTGTGTCACGTCATCATCAAAACAGTGTAAAAAAATAGCAAGTGCACATTTTGGTAACATGTATGCGTTACTGTAAAAGCCCGAAGTCTGGTAAATTCTAGGTTTTACCGGTAAGACCTAGCTTTTACCTGTAACACCTGGAATTACTAGTGGCTTGGTAAAAGTCCGAAGTCTGCTTTAATATCATTCCATTTCGGACTTTTACCAAACTTTTGTGGTAAAAACTTTTGTGGAGTTACCAACGCCTTCCGGTAAAACGAAACTAGGAATTACTTATGACAGGAATTTCCATTCGCAGATATATTGTACGCAGTGTGACCCAAAAAATTAAAACATGCTTTAACTTTTTAATTGATATTATAAATTGTAAAGAGGATTAAAATAAGGCATGAGTTAAGATTATGCCGATGAAACTGTCTTACAACAACAAAATGTTTCAACGAGTTACAAGAAATAAAAACACATTCAATACTTATGCCATTTCACAAATCAGATCCCATGTGAAAAACTGAATTAATGCACAATTCTCTCGAAAACTATTAAACAGATTTCAATAATTTAAAGAAAAATTTGCCAGTAGTTAAAAAATTAAATTGATAGCTCAGAAAAAAATTATGAAATTTAAAAAATAAGAAAAAAATGTAGTATGTTTTTCTTTATACATCTAATACTTCTTACTACCTGTTACTGTTATGACATTTTGAATAGCAAAGTAGATCAGCTAATTGGCACAAACATATCTTCGTAGTACACTTCTTTGTACAGTTGCATTTCTTGAGTCCTTTTTTTGTCCCCCAATTAAGGAAAGTTTTTTACTACTTCATGTACACTTATTTCTCCTGTACCAACTTCTTCGATGTTGAAAAAAATGTTCTTTGCAAAACGTAACCTGGTTTCTTGCGTACAACGACTTTAATTTACCAAACTTAGTACCAAGAACATAAAACTCATCATCTTTAGTGCCTGTATTAACGGCTTATACTGATTTTGAATCCATTTTCGATCTATCAATATCAGATACTTTTATTTTAATATTTTGTCCTAGACGAGGTTTCGGAAAGTATTTAGTAGATTTATAATTTTTTCTAAGTGCTCTTCAGTGGCCATGTTACTAATCAAATTACGTGCGAAAAACTGAATTAGCAATTCCCAGCTTCATAGGACAATAAACATAGTTTTGCAAGGTGAGCATTTGATTCCCCGGTGATATGCTTTGTTTTTTATTTGCATGAACAAATTTTAATCCTTCCGACCATTTTTCTGTCTTATTTGTTTCCATGTTCTCAACGTCTTGGTTCGTCCGTTCGACAGAACCTTGCGATTGTCTGTCTGGCTGTGATTGCCCTGTGTCTCGGCCTACCGTGAACTACTTTCATATCGGTCCACATTTCACATAAACTGTTTATGATTTGGTTGCAAAATTTCCTCCCATTGTCGGTATGGAAAATGTTCAGAGATCCAAAAGTTGTGAAAATACCCAGAAGGTGATATATTCTTTCATCAGCTCTTTTACTGTGCAGACTTCGGAGTAGGATGAATTTTGTAAGATGATTTTTAAACACTAAAATGAATTTCATATCACGATCAGGATTGCACTGTATATCCATTAAGCCGACTTGGCATCGAGAATTCATTTGCATTTCATGCACAACTGATTTGATTACAATCCTTTTTTTCACAGTTTTTTATTTTTTCTGACATGGTTCACATAGTCTCCAATACGTGATGATAGATTCTACTATTGCATCCTTGTACTTGCGATTCAGTTCCTTAATTATACGGGTTCTTTCACCATGGCTAATGCGATATGAGCATTATATAGGACATTGAAGATTTCATCAATTGTAACATAATACAGGATTTCTGTTTTTTTTTTCTTTTTTTTTTTTCTGAAGATAGTGGTGCTATAAGTTTGTCCTATCCTTCAAGTTTTAGATTATCATAGCCTTCTGTAATTGAACTGGCAGTTTTTGCTTCACATATTTTCCTTCTTTCACTTCATTTATTAAAGAAGTGTATTTCTCATTTGTTAAATAAAAGCTAATATCGTGCTTATTTTAATAGTTTCAGACAAAGTATCGTTAAACGTTTTCTGCATAACATCACTCATTTCCTTTCAGCAAAATAAAAATCGCAAAATATGTTGAAATGGAAACAAACTGCTTCTGTTTCACATCGTAGCCGTTTACACTTGCTTGAATTCGCTCGAAGCTAGACTGCAAATGGTGTAAATAAGAAGGAGGAGGAACAGAAAAATGTCGCCTCGGAATTTCGGTCACAGGCTTATTCAGAGTCGATTTAAATCCTTCGTTTCGGGCTTTTACCGGAAGGCGTTCGTAATTCCTAGGTTTTACCGCAAAGGCTTGGTAAAAGTCCGACGTTTATCAAGCCACTTTGGTAAAAGCTAGTTTTGACCTGTAAAACACAGGATTTACCAGACTTCGGGCTTTTAAGTAGCATATGCATTGTAAGAGTTTTAAAGCTCTGCAACGGAAACGCTGTTACAAAAATCATTCTCTTCTATGGTTTGGCCTAGATATAATAGAAATTGCCTTAATATGTGCTGCATTGTTTTAGATTAAAATCTTATTATAGCGATTCTGTATTTTTTCACCGAAAATCTAGTAGTTGTTCCATGTTAAGTACGACTTTCAGTTCAACATACAGGTATGTAGTCAAAATCTAATATGTTATTCTCATGGCGATTCTGTGTTTTCCCACGAAAATCTATCAAATGTTCCATGTTAAGTACCACTTCCATAAAATATTTTTTGCACGAAAATCTATTGAAAGCTTCACCTAAAGAATGACTTTCGGTTTATCAGTTTTAGTCAAAGTTTACTACGTTATTCCCGTTGGTATAAAAGTCTTTAACACTCAAATTGGAAAGTTTCGGATTGCATTTTAATATAGCTTTTCATTTAAATCTTTTATGGGTTTCAAATAAGGTGCCACATCCGGTTGTCCAATTTCATCCAAAATCTAACACACTCTTTATATGAATCAGAAAACTTAAATACAGAAAAGGAGAGTTTTATATAAGACTTATCAGGGTTAAAAAACCGTCAGATAAGTATACACAGACAAACAGGCATCATTGTAAAAATAGTAAAAACATGTTTGGGGGGGGGCCTTCAGTCGTATTTATTCACTAAAACTCTTTATCGAATTTTTGGACTGAAAATGTTATACCTATGTATATAGGTTGGCGAGAGGTAAAATGTAATAAAGCAAGATTGAAAAAATAAGCAATTCATAATGTTAATTTTGCTCGTTTGCTTGTTGCTTCTCCTCAGCATTTTAAAATTTAGCATTTAACTCACTTTCTTGAAGTTATGATTTAGAATTACATTTAGATTTTCTAACAGGACTTTAATTTATAGTACGGTATGGTACAATATTACTTATTCCTATTCTTTATGCACGTTATTGATCTCTTTTTATTCCTAGACTGCAGTTCAGAACACTTATAATTTTTTTTCAATTTCTTTCTTTACCTTTTTATTATTATTATTTATTATACGTATATGTAAGATGAAAATATGTAATTCTCTTTTAAAAAATTAAATTACAATAGTACCTTCACTTGCCATTTTAATTTGGTTATTTTCTTGTTTCTATCCTAAAAACGTTAGCTGTTTATAATAAACGTTTCTACGCCGCATAATTTGAAAATTAATGCATATCACGTGATTGTCGCATAACACTAATGACGCAGGTATAAATGTTTCAACCAGTAATGATTTCAATCTGTAACCGAACACGTGGCCTTCTTCTCCCTTCGCTACTGACAACTCGCTATACCTGTTGCTACAGCTTCAAATGCATTGAAAAATCTCTGAGGTATTGATGAATTTCTCGAAGAACAGGCGCGCTTACTGCGTCAACTTATCAGAGATGCATCAAAAATGATTGTCAATGAAAATAAAGAATATTAGGTGGGACGATGACTGCAACTAGTTCTTTATTCATTGCCATGCCAACAAAGTCAACAAATTCTATATTATTATATATCAATAAATTTTCGGTTTCTATGACGATTTTTGAAATAAAATCAGTAAAAGTGTTACTTCACCTTTTCTTAAAAAAAGAAAGGGAGGAAAAACAAAATGAAAAATATTAATAATAAAATCGGAATTCCTGCTAAAAAGTACATATCTGGGAAATCAGAGAACAGGAAACGCATCAGAAAAAACCAAAAACAAGGAATATTGTATAACTAAATAATAAGATACTTTTATATTACTTTAAGATATCGTAAAGAAATCTTGAATTTACAATTAAAATCAGAAATCTCAAAAAACGTTTAAAATCAAGTTAAGCAAATTAAAATGATGATCAAAAGACGACGAATTACTTAGTTTTGTCATTGTTTTTCTGCGCAATATATGAACTCTGCTTGATTCAGGGAATTTTCAGCTTCTACACAATTTTTCGGTATTTAAATTTTTGTAGAGGTTTTGACAGTGGGTAAAATATGGATAGCTTTGGAAGTATTAAAAGGCAAAATATTTTACGATTTTATAACAGATATTTACATTTGTGGATTGCAAACTGTACAATGTTTATTCAAATGAACGCAGCAAAGTTAATGTTGCCGTTTACACAAGATGTACTACAAAAATAATGAAAATTATAAATAAAAAAACTTACTTTTTTGTATGTTTAATTCCGTTGCAAGCAAAATTTCTTCATAAAGGAAGTTGTATTCGTTGTGGTTGGACTAAGTTTAACTTCTAGTTAATTGTTCTAGCACAGGAACGGTACCGGTAGAAGATAACACGTGATAAACAATTCCGGTTTGTTATGGGATTTCCAAAAGAAACAAAATAAGAAACAAACTCCTTATAAGGTTAAAAAAGGTTTAAAAGTTACCTTATACTACGCTAGTCTAATCTTATTCAAGCTTGAAAGACAAATTTCCTTTTTGGTTTCGTCTATGCTCTTAGAATTCTGAAGGACTACATCAATAGAATAAAATTAGTAAATGAAATGTGATTGAGGATTTATCTCGAAGTACAAAGAAAAAACTGAATGCAAATTTATTTCTCCTTCTAGCAAGAATAACAGATACCACGGAAATTCGAAGTATCTTAAAATCACTAGTTCAATTTTATCCTAACACCTAGTTTGGTAAGTTTCCCGAAATAACTACTTAGTAGGCAATATCATAAGCTCAGAGAAATACCTCTCACGTCGGATACAATAGATTCGTACTCGTTTTTGTACAAGAAATGCCATTAGTCTCTAAACTCAGTTTTTTGTTCGAGACACTTTTCAGATTTTTATCCCCAATGTTTATCGCGATGTATTATTAAAAAAAATAAATACTATATTTTAGAATCTGTATATATGTAGCTCACATCATATGAAAACAACGGCACTTAGAGTCACCGAATTTTTAATACATGCAGTCCTCACATGGACATCTCGAAGCCCGCAATTTTGAATTTTGAATTTTTTTTGATTAATTTCATACTTTGAACAAATTTAATGATTTTTTCCCAATAAACTCAGTGATTTGAAAGCGAGAAGTGGCAACACTGTTTGATATAAAACATTTTCTTTATCTCTAGCACGATAAACAGTTGCCTTTAAGATATTTACCTTTCAATTTTAATCTGCAAATGAAAGCAATGTCTCGCCACTGCCTGAAATAGAATATTCATCACGTTCTTGCAGCAGCTTGTTGCCATTCTGTGAAGCGTATATAACTTTCAAAATTTATCTTTCTCTTACTGAGTGCTAAACCAAATGTTTGAAAAGCAATCAACTCACTTCTTAAAAATATATTTAAATAAAAGTTCTTTTAAATCATGAGATGTATAATTAGAAATAATATGAAATGACACTAGCTGGACTTATTAAAATCTTTATATACATTTTTCTTTTTTATGATAATTCTTTTAGACGGCTAGCCGCTTCAGCGGCTAGGTTCGAATATTTACGAGTATAAAAATATGTATGGTAAGGTCTAACGTTTTGTCGGCAATTCTAAAGATATGCTGTTTCTAAATATTTTGAAGCTTTGCTGCTGAGTACTTTGTGGAGAGCGATGCTTAATAATAAAACTAAGTTTTATTAAACTATAGTAATAAAACTAAGTAAATAATAAAACTAAGAGGGCAAAAAATTTATGTTAGCAGGAATGATTCCAAATGTAAACTGGTAACCTGCGATGCTCAGTAGGAGCATAAAAAGCCGTAACAAATGCTCTGGTACGACGTTAAGATATAAATCCTTTCATATTTTCTTACTGTCTTTCTTTTTTAACTCTTTTTATTTACATAATTTTTTAGATGATGTAGGACAAATTTTTACATACGCAGAGCATATAAATTGAACTTTACAATGCTTAACTCACAAAAAATTACTCTTGAAATTATTCAATAATATTTCAAACTAATAACCATACATCACAAATTAATAAGACCCTTTCTTCAAAAGCAGACTAAAAGCTATTGGAGAATGTTATAATTCCTTACATTCTCCCTCTATTTAAAGAACGGCTGGGCGCAGGCTCAAAATTAAATTCACAGATTTATGTACGTGATGAGAAGTTATCGCCCTTTGAGCTTCGTTGCATACAACATTAAATGTTTTGAAGCCACAAAATAATTGACCAATTTCTTATGGAGATGAGGTATCGTCTACTTAGCTTTAGTTTGAACGCCATTCTAAAGATTGATTTTTAGTTTGCTTGTTTCATCTGACAACCCCTTTTACCTTGCGAACATACAAGGGGAAATTTGATTAATTCTTACAATGTTGTGAAATTCTAAACTGTTGCTATTGATGCCTACAATAGTATGCTGAGAACTACGTGTCTCGTTTCTCCTTCGCTATTACTTGTATGCTTTTTCAGCAAAGCAAAATATATATACAGAATGTCCCATAAGTAGCATTTTAAGTTATGATAAACATTAATAGACTTAAGATTTTTTTTAAATATTCGATTAAAAAAAAATTGGTGCTCACTTTTGGGACACCCTATATATCATTCCTTGGGGTTTACAAGATGGGTGAAAAGAAGATAAAGAAATAATTCGTGAATCGCTGTTTGGGGAATGTCAGTTTGCCTCGGGTATGATTTACTGGCGAAAGTTAGATTATTTGTTTTATTTATTTATTTGTTTACATTTTGGATTATTTTATCAAATTTAAATTTGTTTATTGTGCGTTATATGAACGTTACAATTATATTACATTACATTCTTTTATTAACTGAAAAGTTACATTATTATTAACCACAAAACTGTATTACGTTTTATTGCTTTAATTTTTTGGGGAAATTTGTAATTTTGTTAAAAGTTTTTAACGGAGCTTTTACCCAACGGCTTTATGATAACATTAGCATAGGCCGAAATTCTATTGCTAGGTAACCAGCCATCACAAAATAGGATCTTGTTTTGAGAAGCAATTTCTTAACTACTGAATATTATTTTGAAAGGAAAAAAATTTAAAACAAAACACCATAAAATATATCATTTTAAAAGACTGTCAATCTAACGGACACTGGTAAACAAAAGTGTCACTCTCCTTTAGATTCTATAGCTGCTAATGTCGTAATTCAGACTGGGATCAAAGAAGAACTAGTTATCTTTTATTTCTACCTCCAAGGTTTTAGCAGTTATGTCCGTTCTCAATTATCTGTCATATTCCTAGTCTGCGGAAGTGACCTCATTCTCAGCAGTTTTTTTTTTCCGCCGGAAGATATTATGGCTGGTTGCTTACTTAGATAATATTTTGCAAAAAAAAATCCTCTGAAAACGCTAGTCATGAATGATTTCCAATGAGTTAGCTTGTTGCTAATATATGCGATGTATGTAAATAGTGTGAATGTTCTGCTGGTTTGCATATTTCTAATGTTATGAACATTCATACATATATTTATTATTCCTTTATATTTGTCAAACCTTTTTTTTTAATTTCAAGAAGAGGCCTTCATAACGGTCCCTTCATAAAGTTACCGACATTTTTATACAAACAAAAATTGCCTGAATAGGTAGAAGCATTCATGAAGAGTACTTCGCAAACAAAAAGCCGCACTGTAACAATCCTTTAACATAAACTGTTGGACTAACTGTGACAACAAGGCTGCTCTCTGGTGAGTAGTCAGTTGTTGTCACTTTGTAACTTGAATAAAGCAAACTTCACTTTATTATTTATGCCATTTATGCCTGGACACTGCTGTGTGAATAGAGATTTCCTCTGCTTTCTCAATCAGATTAATAAAGTGAAACCTTTCTTTCAAAACAGTAGTCTGGTATTAAAATGCCCGCAGCTGTTGCCTTCCTGGTATAATTCTTGTGAACCCATTGAACGATCTTAATATATTTTAAACACCATCATATGAATGCATAACATACTTTTTTTTGTTTTTTCATTGAGTTCTTCACTGATAAAAAAATGTAAATAATGAAATCTGGTATTCAAAACGATATGAATTAGTTCCATGTCCTTCAAACTGTGTTCTTCGGGGCATTAGTGTTCCAAGCAACTCGTATAGAGGTTCTAGAAGTTAAAATCAAAATTCGAAAAATTTTTTATACCACTTGCACTGCAAAAGTAGCCATGTAAGTTATTGAGTTGTTGCAAATGAAATAGCCGACTACTGCAAATGAAACAATTCTACTGCAATTGAAACAAGAAGGAGGTTACATGAACCTGTTATGCCAAAGAAATCCTCAACCGCATCAGTGTATTATTACCAACGTGTGGTAAGACCATTCATAAGACATTTGTAAAATTCAGTGTTCTTGAATCTGATAAAGTCCTCCTCTGCTCGCTAAATTGATACATTCGATCGCTAAACATTTCTCTGACAAAAAAAAAAAAAAAAAAAAAAAAAAAAAAAAAAAAAAAAAAAGAATTAAAGTTTACAAATTTTATATCAAAGGGCCTTTTATTTCACGTTTTGTGTGTTACCTTTATTTATTAAATTTCATGTTCTTCGCCCTTACACCATAAAACTCAATTCAGCAGCAATATGACAAAATAATTTAAAAAGAGCATACCTTTAGAATTTCCCAATACACAATCTCGCGCGCTGGAGAAATATCTCCAGCGCCCGTAGAGTGTTGCCATTGCTCGCTTTGAAAACATTGAGTCTGTTAATAAAAAATTCGTTAAAATTTTACAATAAATAGACAGAAAAACAAATTCGAGATTCAAAATTCGGGCTTTCAAGTGCCCATGTTCGATTGGAGGAATATTCAAAATTTGATAGCTCTAAATGCCACTGTTTCTTCACAATGCGAGGGACATTCATGCATTCATGCAGATTCTTCATTATTCAGTTTCTTTACATATAATACATGGCGATAACATTTGGTGGCAACAGGCTGAAAAGTGAATCGACGCAGAGTGCCATTTTGAAATTAATAGCCCTCCTGGGCTAAAAAAATGTCGTAACTATTGGGAAAATTATTATTTGTTTGGAAAATATCGGAAGAGTATTGAGGATAAGGCACAATTTCGTATCCCAAATTGTTATTTTGCCTTATTGTTGGCATTGCCATTTGTGGTTGGGCGTTATTCTAAAGCAATAGGACTCTATATCTACTTTATACAGCTAGTTGCTTAGGATACAATTTGTCATATATATGTGCAATATCAACGCGCATTTGTTGTATCACCTCTTAGATCTATCGTTTCACTTCAGGAATTTTACTTCTTAAGACAGAAAACGAACTTCCAATTACCGTGCCTTCTTTTCAGTAGTGAGTTTGTCAGGCACTCATTTGTCAAGCTGCCTTAATTTTGCTCTTATTCTCACGTTCCGTCAAAGAGTTGAAAGCGTACGTTCAGTATCCACGTGATCTCTCGTAATGTTTATCGTAGATCAGATTCAATTAAATCATTTAAATTATTCGAATTTTTCAGTTCAGAATTTTTCAGAACATGGGTTCATTTCTTAGCTTCAAATCCCTTAAAGCAAAAGTTTTACAAAGTAACGGTAAAAAGAATTCTCGTTACTTGATCAAATGCTTTTTTGATTTTTTTACTGCAACCATTATAAAATTCACAATTTGAATTTGTAAATAATCATGCAAATTTAACCCACTGGGGTCCTCCATGCCTGATTTAGTGTGAATGGCATTCACTGCAATGCTTGTTGAAAGAAACAAATATTACAATTTGGATCATTCATGTATGGATGTTTTACATTACATAAAATATTTGTATATACCTCGAAACTTCATTTTTTCCCCAATCAATGGAGACCTGACATCATTCAATGTCCATTTTATTTGCAACAACTCAATAGTTAATGAAAAAATATATTTTTTATTTCCATTGTTACCTAAAATAATATATATATTATTTGTTGTTATGAGTAAAATTATAATGAAACTCTGGTTTCTGTTTCATTCCCCCCACAAAGCACAAGTAATACTGACGTATTTTCAATTTTCTTTTAACATTTGTTTTCTGAGGATAGCAGAAATAACACCAAAGAAAATTATTTTAAGGTGACCCCCCAAAAAAATTGTGGTTAAACATGAACTGAAAAAGCTTGAAGACCACTGATTTAAGTGTTACATGTAATTTAATATTAAAGCTAACGAGAATAAGCAAAGAAAGTATCTTTTAATGATTCTTATACAGATGAATGTCAGAATAACGTATCTTAAAACAATGATTCCAATTGAGCATTTGGGCTAACATCGTATGCAATGTTTAAATGTTACACATTTGCTGCATTTATAATGCGATACTGTAATACCTAAATAAAAATTTTAAAAACTGAAGGTTCAAATTACACTTTCATTCCATTGCATAATACTATTAATATCTGTAATCATAAATATTGTAAGCGTGGCAAATATTTCTATAATAAAAAGAAAAAAAAGTACAAAGAGATACTCGAAAACCTCTATACGTTTTCTTACAAAAATATTCAGCCGTTCATATGCAAGCTTTCCACTTTCATTCCACTACATGAAACTGCCAATAAATGTAATTGCAAATATTACATAACACTGTAAATAGTCACGATTTTAAATTTTGTAGTAAACTATAAATAATCATGATTTTATACATTTCACAAAATTATAAATATTGTAAGTACTATTACAACCTTAACAACAAACAAAATATGGAGAGTGATAAAAGTCGTTTTTTACGCTTCCTACAAATATGCACTGTTTGCAGTCAGTCTTTTATCTTCATTTACATATAAAGTATTACAAAAGATCTTATCCTAATTTATTTATCTTATGTTTTAAGTAAGTTATTTGTTTCATTCTTGCTTTTCTCGAAGCAAAAAGATTAACAAAAACTTCTTTTCCCGCCTTTTTACTTCAAATTCAGTTCTCATAATCTCAACGAAGAACTGAATAAGGAAATTCCAACCTACCAATTATCCAGGTTTCGTAATCCTTAAAAAAAAGAAAGTGGTCGTAATACTGTATTTATACTTTTTCTGAAAAATTAGGAACATGATATCATATTTACAAAGAAATGCCATGATAAATACGAACTGTACAGAAGTTTCAAACAAATAAATTCTAGAAAATTCCACGCATATTTCCATGATTTGCACGGAAAAGAAAGTTAATTTTATGTTCATATATTCTGTTCTGTCACAGAAAAGTCATTGTTGTGTACGGTTTGATAGGAAGTGTTCCAAACTAATTTTATTATGCCACTTTGCTCAGGTGTTCCTATATGCAAAACTTGTGCTTTCAAATTTTGATGCAGTAGATGATGATGTGGTAAGTTTATCTGATGAAGACGTTAGCGTATTTTTATCAGAAGTCATTTTTCTAAAATGTTTGTACACTTTCTTAGAGCACGTGAAAAGCAGGAAAAGGAATAGTCCTTGCAAAGAGTTCAGCACGTCGAATATTATCCAAACAACATAGCTTTTAGAGATTGCTGCGATAACTCCAGTCATCCAAGTAATACCTATCATTAAGCCTAACCTCACGTAAAGTATAAAGTTGATCCTCTCTTTATAAACCTGTCTATCGTTTGGATTCTTCATTGTATTCTTTTTTATCATAGCTGCGCTCAGCACAAAAAATATTCCATTCACCGTGATAAGACTGAAGGATGGAACAGAGAAGAATATAGTTTTTGCGGAACTGTTGGTCATCCAACAAGTATCACCTCTTCCATAGTATGGTTTAATAGCATCGGGAATATTTTTTGAAAAATCAAGCACAACGCTTATAATGACAATAATTAATGGTGCACCCCAAGCGTATAAAGAGTACCACAAGAACTGTCTTTTCTTGACTATACGGGAGCTTACTAGCAATTTCTGCGTTGCCATTCTCATTATTCTCCATATATCAAAGGCCATAACGTTCATGCAAAAGAAGGCAGCAAGAAAAAAGTATTGTTGCAATACTGCACTCGCAATGCAAGCGGCACCCAAAACTTCATGTATTTGTCCGATTAGTAAGAAAGAGTAACCGAATAGGAATGCAATACTCAGAGAGCATAAGTTGTAGCCAGGCAAGTTTCGTAGGGCAGGTACAATGCAAAATGTGAGCAAATGAATCAGCAAGGCGACGATAGATACAGCTGATCCAATTTTTCCTATATATACAGATGGACCCTCGTTTTCCATGGGCTCAATTGGAAAATGGTTCGTTATTGATACATTGTCATCTGAAGTATCATAATCTAAAACACACGTAAATAATCTACCGTTCACAAATTCGTATGTACCATTCTCTAGTATTTCATTGAAAAGCTGTACTGAGCCATTAGGAAGTATTGTGTATTCTTGAGGTTCATAGTCCCATTTTGGACAGCTTTGCAAGATCTCTCTTTGAAATGTTTCCCATACAGCACGACAAATGTGGAATTTTCCTTTTTTAAGCAGGTATTCCGTTGCTGACATGGTCCTATTGACTACTTCTAAAAACGCGTCACCATTTTCCAAGAATCGAATATCACCAACACCAAATTCACGTGTTTCACATTTTAAACTCTTATTAGAGTTAATTTCTTCATTAATTCTAGATATTTTTGAATTTTCATTTAAAATATTAACTGAACGATATCCAGAAACATTGATAAGAAATGAGCAAACCGCAATGCATCTAATAGTGGGAGAAAAGTTCATTTTGTCAGTTACGTTTGAATCTAAATTATATACTTCCAGACTTTAAGCAATCAACAGTCGTTTCCTTCGCAGGCAATTCTTCGATTTTGATTTTGTCAAAAATTAAATATTTTCCATTTACTTAAGTCATCAAGAATAGATATTTTTCATTCTTTGTAAATCAGCCGAGAATATGCATTCTTAATTCAATCAAAATTCATCAAACGCAAATGTGTTTCATTCACTTGAAATCTTCAAAAAATAACTTTTTTTTATCTCTCTCAGTTATGTGAGTAAAATCAGCTTTTTCGTTACGTAATTTCCGCAAAAGGCTCCTGGAAAGAAAAAGAACACATTTACTCATATTATAATAAAACTTGTAATTAAATTACGGTTAATATATTCATTTAATTAAAATCCATGGTATTAGGCGCACAATAAAAATAATGGATTTTAAATTTCATCATATGGTGATTTTGCTTATTCTCTTCAGCTATTTGTTGATTTTACAGCTAACTTTGCAGCTACTGTCTTGTAGAGATATCTCTATTAGGAAGAATGGAAAGTGTGGCACGATGGATGCTTCGGTGTTCTTAAGGGTAGTAAATGGGGGTGGTAAATGGTAAAGCTCAAACTGTAGAAGTCAACCTCCTACCGTTGCAAAAGTGCACTTATTTATGCATTCGTTACCAATATTTGGATTTCGATCCTGATGCGAGCACTGACTGATCACGAGGCCACTTCACACAGTCCCTTCGCAGAATTTGCAGTACGTTACTAGAGAAGACAATTAGCCCTTGTGAATGAAATCACGGTATGGGCGATTAAAAACATGTAGTTGCGAGCCCCGCGTATTGATATGATTAGTTATTACGTGGCGCTGTGCGACCGGAATGCCCAAGCGTGCCTAGATGAGCCATTTGTTGCATAGTGAAGCCTATCGGGGAGTGCCCTGGTGCTTATAATATCGTTGTTTCCATAGAAGTTCGGAATTATGTTTTTTATAAATGGGTACAAAATTCTACGTATCAACGTAACATTAATATTCAATTTTAATTTTATTTGATGTTGATCTCGAAAAAAGTTTCTTGTATTTCAAGGGACATGTTATACTTTTCCATTACTCAAAGATAATTTATTAACTAAAAATAGGCAATTGTTTTAATCGTTTTGAGTAAGTAATGTAACATCTGTTGAATATCATCGTTTGAGAAAAAGCAGCAGAAAAGAAAATTAAAATTTCCATTCAGAATTTTGTTACTGGCAGAAGTTATTTATCTGTAACTATTGATAAAAGCTTATGATCGTTTATTTTCGATAACAATTCCAGTATTCTTGTTCGCAAGTATTCCAGTATTCTTTTTTGGTAGCAAAATTGCACTGAAATTTCCTATTGTTGAGCAGTATAATTATAGGAATACAAAAGACTTTATAAGAATAATTTGAGAAGGTTGAGAGAGAAATACTTTTTGCTGTTAATGTATAGCATGAATAAGGCTATAAACTGTGCCAAAGCTTTCTTGAGTTATATCGGTACTCATAGAATACTCAAAATCAAACATGATGACCAACTGCATATTGGATTATTTTTAAAACTGTTATGATTAGAATTTTAAATGCAAAATATTTATTATAAAATTAATACAGTATTCGTTCAAAATATTTTTCCTTGCAGTTAATGAAATACGTCACAGTATGAAACCAGTTCAGTTTCGGAATAAAATATTAATTTCACTTTATAAGAAATGCATTCATGGAATTTATCCTATAGCAGAAACATGAAATCAAGAAAAAGATTGAATCCCAAACATTACTTCTTCAAACGTATAGGATCTGAATAAAAATGTAGAAATTCTACTCATGATGTACTGTAAACCCCTATAACTGCAGTATATAATGAATAACAATCGCAATAATTTTTCTTAATGCATTAACTCCGCAAGAATTTCCTTTTACATTTCCCTTTACTAGATAAAGTGCTGAACACTCTTCTATTAAATTAAACTAATTTTCCTAGGCTACATCAAGCCCTTAACATTCTTTTATTAAATTAAAGTTAATTCATTTTTTCATTCAGAAATAAGCCCAAAACGATTAAACATCCTTCCTATATTAAATACTAGACTGGCCAAGGTTAAAACGGACCCAAACAAATGAAAACCACATGAACTGTAAAGTAACATTACATCGGGTGGCCGTAACATTACGGCAGACACACCAAACTGGACATGGGAAACTTCACATGCTTTGATTTCGACCTATATATGTCCATCCTATACTATGTTATTGTCTTACTACTGTAATCAAAAGCTATTAGTAATGATAACTTTTAAATACGCATGGACAAATATGTGCAGAGGTTTAGCAAAGAATATTATGTTGAGTGTTTTGTGGCGTCATTATCAAGCAATTTGTCCAAAATTCTGGCACTGTAACTCTCACAGATTTCGCAGCATTATAATGCGCCTTTCACAACGGTTATATTTATACAACGTTATACACGGTTGTATAGCTTTCACACGTTATTATACGTTAACACGGTTGTATGCCTTTACGGTTATTTTATACACTACAAATATTTACAACGGTTATATTTATACAACGTTATACACGGTTGTATAGCCTTTCACAACGGTTATATTTATACAACGTTATACACGGTTGTATAGCCTTTCACAACGGTTATATTTATACAACGTTATACACGGTTGTATAGCCTTTCACAACGGTTATATTTATACAACGTTATACACGGTTGTATAGCCTTTCACAACGGTTATATTTATACAACGTTATACACGGTTGTATAGCCTTTCACAACGGTTATATTTATACAACGTTATACACGGTTGTATAGCCTTTCACAACGGTTATATTTATACAACGTTATACACGGTTGTATAGCCTTTCACAACGGTTATATTTATACAACGTTATACACGGTTGTATAGCCTTTCACAACGGTTATATTTATACAACTTTATACACGGTTGTATAGCCTTTCACAACGGTTATATTTATACAACGTTATACACGGTTGTATAGCCTTTCACAACGGTTATATTTATACAACGTTATACACGGTTGTATAGCCTTTCACAACGGTTATATTTATACAACGTTACCACGGTTGTATAGCCTTTCACAACGGTTATATTTATACAACGTTATACACGGTTGTATAGCCTTTCACAACGGTTATATTTATACACGTTATACACGGTTGTATAGCCTTCACACGGTTATATTTATACACGTTATACAGGTGTTAGCCTTTCACAACGGTTATATTTATAACGTTTATACGGTTTTATTTCACAACGGTTTATACACGGTTGTATAGCCTTTCACAACGGTTATATTTATACAACGTTATACACACGGTTGTATAGCCTTTCACAACGGTTATATTATACAACGTTATACACGGTTGTATAGCCTTTCACAACGGTTATATTTATACAACGTATACACGGTTGTATAGCCTTTCACAACGGTTATATTTTATACAACGTTATACACGGTTGTATAGCCTTTCACAACGTTATATTTATACAACGTACACTGTTAGCCTTTCAACGGTTATATTTATACAACGTTATACACGGTTGTATAGCCTTTCAAACGGTTATACAACGTTATACACGGTTGTATAGCCTTTCACAACGGTTATATTTATACAACGTTATACACGGTTGTATAGCCTTTCACAACGGTTATATTTATACAACGTTATACACGGTTGTATAGCTACAATTGTGGCTTTCCCTTCGTTGCAGATTTAAATCTATAGATTTATTCATTTTTATCTAACCAGTTATTTTGGCTTAAATACCTTTATTGTCATTTTCCCTTTCCATTTTTCTGTCAGAATGCTAATTTGTGCTATATAACAATGCTATTTATTTATTTTATTTTTTTACTAACCAGTTATTTTATGCTGAGGACCTATACTATCTTTACTGTTCAGTTTTCCTACTAGAATGCCAGTTCGCGCGTATTCAAGTGAGGCAGAAAGAGATACTACTTGAAGGATGGTTTTAAATTGTTTATTCAGGGGATATTCCGTCTGCTGAAAGCTACATTACTGATTAAATCTCTTGATAGCAGTCTCTCTGCGGCGCTGTTTTATTTTTGCCAATAGTGCTTATTATGCCGGCATGAGTTTGAGCCAAATTTTACATTAATCATTTCTACGTAGCTTTTGTCTAACTTACGACATAACTTAGTTTTAAGTTGAATTCGTTATTTTTGAGTTACTCCATAAATGCTGGCTTGTGAGTACAAGAAGTGTCATCTGTTATATTTGAGTTCTCAATAAGAGGGTCCTTACACCCTTCTTAAGTTCTTTTTCATCTTAGACATCGTGATAAGTCGCTTACATGTCTATTCAAGGATTTGCCACAAGTTACACTTAGTTCCAGGCACAATCCCTACAAAGTCTAGACTAAAACCTACGCCAAACAGAAGGTTATTGCTTTATGAGATTTTAAAAACAATTTCAAAACTTGGAGGTTAGTTTCTACATTTAGACTAAATGGATATTGTGAAAATTTAAAAACTGCATCATATATCTGTTAGATTTATCCGATGTAAAATTATACATTAACTGCATTGAATCAATGCAAAAGTGCACTGAACCGATACCTCATTACAGTTTTCGAATACGTTTCTTTTGAAGTGAAAGAAAATCACTTCATGAGTACGTAACTAATCATTTTTATCTGTAACTTATCACAATTCTGATAAAAATGTTTCGATACTAGGAAATAAAAATGAAAGGAAATATTAAAAAAATTGTCACTTTACCTTCCTGTGTTACCTACGACCCTTTTACTTCCGACAAAATACGACAAAAACTGTCGGCTTTAGCGATTTGCAGCACGTGTTTTGGTCGTTGTTATGTGTGCAGTTCCTGATAACGGCAATTGCTGGTTTTGAATTTCGAATACAATTTCCTGATTAAAAAAAATTAGTTTTTCTCTGATATGTATATTAACGTCTATTTAATGATAAAGAAAATAACTGAATGAATGTTTAAAGAACGAACTTGATAACTCTGCAATACGCAGTTGATAATTTGCAGTTGCATCCCATATTAAACTTATAGTAACTAAAATAACTCGCTAAAGAACAGATATTGAAGAACTGCCATAAACTGAATCAGTCCAAGTTACATAAGTTTTCAGGACACACGTTGTTTAAAAACCTAAAAGCATAGGTTTCTGCTTCGTCATTTTCATTCCTACAGCTGAAGAAGAAGGTTTTATTCAAGCCTTCGAATCTAGCCTTCCAAACCCTGATTCTTGTTGATTCAATATGTCCAACATTAGTG